TTTCGTCGGTTTCTCCTTCGGTCCCCAACACCTTCACACGGATCCTGAGATCCATCAGACCTGATGCAAACATGTGAAGAACACGCTTACAGAACGCTGAAACTCCTGGAGCTCTAAAGGCAAGCATGATTGCTAAAGAAAGATGTTTCAGATCATTCTGATTCAGAATGATTCAAATGAATCGTTCAGATCAAAGTGTGAAGCGGTTTGACCGAATCCGAATCATCAAAAACAACCGATTCAAAAGAATCATTTGCTCACAATTCAGGATTTGACTGCACCTTTTACTCTACAAACGATCAATTTAATATTATATTATATACAATAATTATTATTATATATAATATAAATATGAAATAAATAATGAAATATAATTAGACAAATATATATATATATATACATAATTTTATGACATATATACTATAACAATAATCATTATATATGTAATATAACATTTATTTAATTTATTTTATGTTGTATATTATCATATGTAATATAAAAGTAGTTATAAAATATACCTATAAAAATTTACCTATAAAAATGTGTGTATATATATATACCATTAGTTTGAAGAGAAAATATTACTATATACTGTATATATATACTTTACATATAGTCTTACACCTATAATAATAATAATAATAATAATAATAATAATAAATGAGCAGACCAATAAAAATGGAAAATGTATATTCACTATAGAAATATTTCTAATTTTGTCTAATTTCCGTAACTTTTATTTATTTTTGCATGGTTTTGCAGAGAAAAATATGATGTTATATACATAAAATACAGGTTTCTGGACTATTTATTTATTTATAACAATAAATCTTTTTTTTTTTTCAGATGAGATCCAGAGAAATGGTCCAGAAACCTGTTATGAAGAACAAGAGTCGGTGCTTCTTGCTTTAAATATCGTCCAAGTCAGTTTTGAGTGAATAAACTTGGGGGACAATAAATACAGACTGTATACGACAGACAGTAAATCATGTGAGTAATATTTACTGTAGGTTTGTGCTACAGTAAGTGAGTTTCTGCGCTGCTCTGGAGCTTATTCCCGATGTCACAGATGTCTTCGTCCCGGTGACCCGGATCCTCCCACGTCTGCAAAAGACGGCAAATCATCCGTCCGTTCATTCATGTGATGTGAGTGAGCTGATCAAACCAATCTCCAGCGCTGCTTGGATTGGCATCTAAACATGCATAAAATCTCCCTCTCTGAGCTCGCTCATGCATCAAACACACTTTCCCTGGAGGTTTCCACGCTTCAATTCTGCGTGCTTCACTTCTAAACGTCTGAAAGAACACAAACCTGAGGAATGGCTCCATAGTTCCAGATGTAGCCCGTATGAGGAAAGACATTGCTGATGTAACACAGATTCTCTTTCTTCAAATCCTGCTTCAGTGGATTGAGAGGATCTTTAGTCGCGATCCGGAGAAACGAGGGCAATATTTCAGAATTTAAACATTCAATTTTTCAGAATGTTTGGCTTTCTGTCTTCCATAAAATGTAAAGTAGAATGAAAATACAGCTCAGAAATTAAATGCAGATTTATACAATCAAGCTCCAAAAAGCAGCATAAAATAACTCGTCCCATACAGCAAAAAAAAAAAAAAAAAAAAAATATATATACTGTATACATTGGGTACGGAAAGTATTCAGACCCCCTTAAATTTTTCACTCTTTGTTATATTGCAGCCA